ACACACCGACCAACTGACAGACACACCGAGCGGCTGACAGACACACCGACCAGCTGACAGAAAGGCCTACACACCGACTGACACACCAGCCAAACCACTGACTGACTGACCGACCGACCAACCAACCGACAGACTGACAGACTGACCAACTGACAGACCTACAGACCGACCGACAGACAGACAGATCTACAGACCAACTAACCACCTGACTGAGCAACAGACAGACCAACCGACCGACTGACCACTGCCCCAACAACAACAGCCCAGACAGTGGCCACCAGCTGTTGGATACTGGCCATCACCCTAACCACCAGCCACTGACCACCAGCCATCACCACTGGCCATCATCACTGGTCATCAGCCACCAGCCACTGGCCACCGCCATAAGCCACCAGCTGTCCCCACTGGCCACCAGTCCCAAGCCAGAGTATGGCCACCACTTTGCATAGTCCTTCCACCAACTTCCAGGGCAGTCAAGAGAACTGCCCACTGCAGTATGAAACCACTGACACACACCCCCCAAAAAAATCAGGGATCCCCAGGATGAAAATACAGGTTGCCCAGAGAAGCTGTGGCTGCCCCGTCCTTGGAAGTGTCGGCCCATGGCAGGGAGTAGAATGAGATGGTCTTTAATGTTGCTTCCAACCCAAACCATTCAGGATTCTGTGACTCTATAAAAATTATTTCTTTATACTAATAACAACTCCTGGCCAAAAACTGATGTTTAGTTTTTAATCAAAAGTGAAAAGCAAACTTGGGACCGATGGGTTTGACAACTCAGCAGACACAGGCAGCACCAGCCAACAAACACAGCCACTCTCAGGCCAGTGTGGGCAAGCGGCACCGTGCTGCTCTTGAGCAAACCCCTTCTCGTGCCCACGCCTGGCAGAGCACTCCCAGGGCACAACCAGAGCTGCTGTGAACATGGAGTGGGCTGTAGTGCAGTTCAGGTGTCCTCAGGGCTGCAGACATGAGGTGCCTGATAAACTGTCCTGGTGCTCAGCTGTGTTTGACCAAGCCCAAACAAATGCTCACCACACTGCGGCGTTTAAGGGAATGCCCGAAAGCATTTCTGCTGATGCCCCATCCAACCTGTCCTCCAGATGTCTGGATGTCTCAAAACTGGCTCTCCTCAGAAGCCACAGTCTGCTCTGTTCCTCATCCTGAGGACTGCGGGGTTTAAATGTGCTCTCAGAAATGGCTGACTTAGAATAAACAAGGCGCAGAGGCAACAAAAGAGGTCATATTTCACTTCTTCCCGAGCCTGAAATTTTATTGCTTTCTGGTGACATCCAGCAATGCAAATAACCTCATGTGCATGCAGGGCAGAGCTCAGTGGTGTCCTCCTGGCAGCCCAGGCACCCTGCTCTGGCTGACACCACCTGGGCAAGGGTCTGGTCACACCGTCTCAGAGGTCCCTGCGAACCCCAACCCCAATCCCAACCTCAACCCTTTCGTGATTCTCTCTACTCCTAATCCTGTTTTGACCCAGCATTTCTGCACAGCAGGTGCATTTGCAGGAGCAGGCTGTTGCCAGCCTGCCCTGCACGGGGCCAGACTCTGTTTTGCTGATGGTGTAAACGTGTGCGGTTGCCGTGTCGGTCCGTGACGCGCTCCCTGGACTGACCTCCCCTCTTCACCGTGGCAGTTCCCGGGGCCGGGCTGTGTGAGGAGCCGGTGCCGCCGCCCTCGCAGCGCATGGCCAAGGTAAGCCAGCCCTGGCTGCACTATTGACACAGCTGTTTGCAATTGTGCTGCTCCCAGCACTCTGCATTCTTCATCCCATGCGAGCCCTCCGCTGGCTCCTGGCACCCCTCGGAGATGTGTGACCAGAATGCAGAGCGCGTATTTTGTAACGCCACAGTGGGATGTGGACACAGCGGGCTGAAATAAAGCAAACTGAATCTCAGGATAACACAAAGTTGCTCCCACAACTGCTGTTGGGGCTCAAAACAGAGATACACCAAAAAAACCCACCAAAACCACAAACAACCAAAAAACCCCTCCTAATTCTGAAACCACAATTATAGACAAAACCTGGTTGGGAAAAGGGATGATTGCCCTAACAACCCAAATCTTCCAAATTACTCAAAACTTGCATTAAATACACATCACAGTTTCTCCATAATAAATCCCCAAGGGCAGAAAATAATTGCAGAGATCTGGAACTATTCTCTAAAATCAGAGGCCAAACTGGAAATGGGCAGAGGGCAGGCAAAGAGGTAGGAAAGATGAATTGCCTTGTCTGACCCAAACAGCCTTGCAGCAAGTCTGGGCAAAGGAAAAAGAGAGTGGCTGGTTCTTATTTTGGCCTGAATCAGCCAATTCCCATGCCAGACAGAAAAAGCTGATGCTACTTCAACCAGCGCCTAAAATTTTAGAATTACACCAATTCCTAACAGTAAAAGCCAAAAAACAATTGCAAAAAACAGGCAAGTGGCACTGCTGCCTGCAAGGGATTTGAACTGACGTTAAAGCCATGAGGGATGGGCGTGGGAAGCAAGAGGAGGTGCTGCCCCTCTCCCCAGGCATGTGCTGTAAGGCTGCCCTTCCAAAGAGAAGGAATTCTTAAGAGATGTTTTTTCAGAAATACAGAGCTTAACTGGCATCACGAGCCAGTGCCAAAGTGGGCTGAACAGTGCCAGGCCAGGCCAGTGCAGGTCTCCCAAGACACTTTCTGGCAGTACCATTACTTACCACAGCCAATCCCTAAAAGCTTTGATGAAAACCCCAAATTTGGGCAGAGCAGGGCTGGCAGGGCCACGTGGCCCCAGGACAGGGGCAGCCCTTCCTCACTCTTGCTCTCCCACCCACAGCCACCGTTTCATAATTCCCTGGGCTCCAGTGAAGGCTTTGCCCATTTTCATGACAATCGGGGCTCTGTTGTGTCCCTGCAGTTTGAGCCATCGGCCCCTTTGTGGCACGAACAAAGTCCGGGCTGTGGATAACAAAACCCAGCACATCTCGGCGCTGAAGGCGACAAACCCCGAGCTGCCCCCACACCACTGAGCTGGCCATGGACCAAACTACAACAGCAAAGTGGATCTGATTTCCAGCAACAAATAGATCCTAAGGAAATACTGAACTCCTGGCTTTGTTTTCATTTTATCAACAAATGATGCCACTGGCAGCACCTCTGCTGTGCAACACCAACCGCCCGAGCCCGCGCGATTCGGCAGGCTCAGGAACGGCCACATGCCAGGGAACAAGACCCCCTGCACTAGAACCAGCCTGGTTTGCAAATGTAGCTGAATAAATTATATAAACTCTGATTAACACATCTCAGCAGCATCAGTACTGCAGACATTACCGCTTCCAGCCACTGCAGTGAGAGAACTGGCTGCAGGTAAACAGAGCATGTACTTTTCCCCAAAAATCTATCCCCCTCTCTCTATGTATGCAGGTATTTCAGAGAAAATTGAAAAAAAAATATATAAAATTTCTTAGAGAAGCTGTGGAAGGAACTGCATGGAATGACAATGAATATCCACCTGATGTCCTGTGATAATGGTTTAACAACAGTGTAATTCCTCTGCTCCCCAGCATTAAACACATCAGGAGCGTGGAGTTAATAATTCTGCTGAAGGTGGTCACTTGGTGCACATAAAATTAAGCAATTTCCTCTTTCTTACTACTTTGATAGGTCGTTGTGTAAATAGAATCCTCCTATCAGTTTCCAGGGTTATCTGGTTTGTTATATTTTTATTCGCCTGGCTACTGAATTTGCCGTCCCATTCTATTGAGCAGCTGCAAGAAGCGTTTCATTGCACCTCCCTTGGTGGGAGACAAACAGCGGAGAGCAGCTCTGTGTGACAGAGGAAAAGGCAGGGGGAGGTTAAGGGCTCCTCAGAGAGGTCGCCTTCAGAGGAAAAAAGGAAAACAAATGGGATTGTAGGCATGGGAAGTATATGGTTTTACTGCCTTAGCGGGAAAGTACAAGAAAGGAGAATTGCAAAGGGAGAAGCTTTACATTTCTATGAGCAGGCAATTGAGCTCCATTCCCTTCCTATGGGATGACTCCATCCATTCTGGGAGCACATCTCCTGTAACTCCCAGTAACCAAATCAGGTCACACAGTGTCAGATCATTCTGGAAAACACGGGGAAGTCCTTGGGCTGGGTCCCCCTTGCCAATGACAACCCCACAGATGTATTATACTTTGAAGATAAACTTTCAGAGGTCTACCCAGACAGGACCTTCCAGCCCTTACCCAACAGTGGGCCCAGGGCAGGATCCAACCTCACACCCCCATCCCGTCCTCGTGTGGTCAGTTCTTTCTCCCACAGGCCGATATTCAGGCACTGAATCCATCAAGCGAACACCGGGTGCAGAGCAGGGCTTTGTCCCAGCACATCCCACCCAGAGAACCAGGGCACCCATCAACCAGTGTGGGCACAAATGAGACAAAAACTTTTCATCCCAAACCTGTGCAGAAAATTATGTTTAGCAGGATGTAGGAAATGAGGAGAGGCCCACAGGGCAGAAGGCAGAGAGCCTCTCCTGGGTTTGAAGAGGCGGGAAAAGTTTTGTGCATTAAAGTGCTGAACTGAAAAGCCAAAAGAGGATTTTATGGCTGACTTGGAGAAACTGGATTCACACAGCTACAGCGGCCTGCTGCAGTTGCTAGTGTTTTTAACAATATCAACAGCAGACCAACTTTGTTATTATCACTGTAATTATTATAGTTCTGAGCACTATTTACAAATCACAGTTTGGTCCTGAGCAGCAAGTTTTTGTATCCCCAGGGAAAAACAAACAAACAAACAGTAAGGATGTTTCCTCAAATTTCAGGTCAGATGGCAAAATGAGGAAAAAAACCTGAAGGGTTCCTGTGGGCTCACAGGAGATGGGCCCTCAGCCCCGACCCCTGGGCAGGGGCTCAGCCCCTGTGCACCCACTGCCCCTTCCCTGGGCCATGGTGCCGTGGAAGGGCCAGCGCTGCCCCCGTCGCTCCTGCAGACGGATGGGCTGGACAGGAGCTGGGCAGGAGCTGGGCAGGAGCTGGGCAGGAGCTGGACAGGAGCTGGGCAGGAGTTGGACAGGAGTTGGACAGGAGCTGGACGGGAGCTGGGCAGGAGCTGGACAGGAGCTGGATGGGAGCTGGAAGGCGCTGGACGGGAGCTGGACAGGAGCTGGACAGGAGCTGGAAGGCGCTGGACGGGAGCTGGACGGGAGCTGGAAGGCGCTGGACGGGAGCTGGACAGGAGAGGGCAGCATCCGACCGGTGGACACGGCCGGGCATCCTCGCATCAGCTCCAGCCTCAGCTTTGGGGCCAGAGCCCTCCTGGCCCCAGCACTGCCCTGAACAGCTCTGCAGCATCCTCACCTCCCGGGGGGCCACAGGGCACCGAGTGGGTCCTGCTCACGGGCTGGCACCTTGGGTTTATTTTTACTGCAATTATCTCTTCTCTCATTAGGAGAAGGTATTTAAAAAGTCCTTTCCTCCCCCTAAATCTTCTTTGAGCATTCCATTTAACTTGATGAAGTTTGTAATCCTTTTTTTTTTTTTTTTTAACAAGAAAAGGAAAAGCTGATCAGAAATGTCCTTCCAGAATTTACAAACATGGGAATAAAATATAGAGGAACCATCTGGTACACCCTGACAATACCCCCAGACTCTCCCTTTGTTCCCAGGTAGCTGGCCAAGAATACATCCATGCAGCAAACAGCACATTGCACTCAAAAAAACTCTCATCACCTCAACTCTCAGCTCCTGTAAGAACCCCTGCCAACATCTCAGCTTGGAGACCGACTGACTTTCCACCTAAAACATATCTCACCATAATCCCCTATACACCACAATTACTTCTTTAGATGATGTCAAGTTTAAATAAAATTGTGAAATGTCAAAATCTGTGGAAAATATGTTTGTTAGAATGGCAAGGGCAACTGAGGGAAGAGAAAGTGGCATGGGACAACAGGGCAGGAGAAACCCCATACTCAAAAAATCCTTATATAAATTCAACTTCCTTCCTAGAGGGCCTCAAAGCAGAAAGGCAAGGCAAACAGCACGGCAAGGTGGCCCAGTGACACACCTGGCCATGTTTTAGGGGGATGAGGGTCCATGGTTTGTCACCCCCTTTCGCTGTCCTGCCATAATGTGAAGGGCCCAGCTCAAAGCTGCAGTGGTGGCTCCTCAAGAAAAATGCTTTCATAATTTTGTTTCTGCTATTGCAGATGTGAGGGAAATGTTGCCATAAGCTACACAAGTTGTCCTGGCTGCAAAGTCGATTCCTGATGTGCACAGCAGGTCGTGTGATTTCAGCACAACACTGCAAAGGAGGACAGTGCTTGGGAAGTTAAATCTTTGTATTCCATCCAGTCCTGTGCAGGAGCCTGGAAATTTGGGCACTTCCACTCTGCTCCCCCCTCCTACTAATAGAGCTCCCACTTGTGAACAGGGCAAGAGCTGAATTCTGAAAAAATACCTTTTACCTCCCTGTATTCCTTCTCCTAAACCTGATTCTCATCCTTTCCTTCTGATAAACCAGATAATTCACACATCACCTCTACCAGCTGCTCCGAGGCCCAGATACCACCCACCCCAGACAGCACGAGGTCTCAAATTAAGATGTACATGACTCAAGGAAGAGCCAATTTTATTAGACTAACACTAGAGGAAAAAAATCTTCCATCTTCCTCTCGTTCGTGAAGCCACAGAGGACAAAGTATTGCCATGGCTGTTCCTGACAGGGAGCGAGGCTGCCCCAGTGCAGGGACTGCTGCTCTGGGGGTAAAGGCTGAATCGAACATGCAGTATTTAAGACAATTAGGTTTTCAAAGAAACTACACTAAACATTTCTTTCATGTGTAATCAAATTATGTTAAAGCAAACCTCATAATTTAAACCATTCCATTGGTCAGCTCCTATTTGTTTTCCCTGCACCCTCATTTTTGCTCCAGATCTGTCACATTACATTAACACCTTTCCTACTCACTGCCTACAGAAATAACAGCCTTCGACATGCCTGCACAATCCATTTGTCCTGCTCTAATTACTTTTTGACATAGCCTCTTCTGCTGTTATCTTGCCTTTTCTGACCTCTGTCTGTATTAAAGCCATTTAAAACAATCTTTAAACTCGGTATCTATTGTGATGTGTCTTATATGATACTGCTGGAGTATCAGGCAGCAACATTTTGTAAATCAAATATTTAAATCCATGGTAATAAGATAATGTACTTGAGCTGGAAAGCTAGTGCATGGTGGTAACAGCTACAACTGGCTGCTCACAACACAAGCCCCCAGGATTGCATGCACATTTTCAGGATGGAAAAATGCAGCACATTTTCAGGATGGAACTCCTATAGTCATAAAACTGTTCTACATAGGGAAGCTGCTCGAAGATAAACAGGGTCTTCTGTGTCCTAAGGAATTTCCTTTAATTTCACAAATGGGGAGGAAAGTAGGAGAAATGAGAAAAGTGGTCATCCTGCACAAACAAACCCAAACAACCTCGAGACAGATTGAGCAGACAGGAAGAGGAGCAGGCAGGATGCACCAACAATGCAGCCCGTGACAAATCACACTCTTCTCCAAACCCAGAGAAGAAACCATGAATCTCTAATTCCAATACCCCTCTGTTTTCATCAAGCCCATTCAAAAACTGTGCCCTCATTTTCTTTTGTGGTGACTCACAGAAGATGAACCTCTAATTACCAGCTACTTCCCTGGCTGAAGCAGCAGAGGATCTGCTCTGTGCCAAGTGTCTGCTTTGGAGTCAAGAACTTATTCCACATGGTGGAACTGATTTTTTGGATATCACGTTGATCCCAGTGTACACACGTCTCACAACACAGTCTAACTACATCTTCACATGCTATTTTCCACATGATCCAGCCTCACACTAACTTAATTGGTAGCTAGTCAATATTTTACTCACATTAGAAGAGACTTCTCAAACCTACATTTGCTCTGGTTCATTTACAGGGTAATTATCCAGTTCACACCAAGTCTGGTCTTCTAGATCCAGCCAGTGCAGGCACAGGCACAGCTCTGCTGGGAAAGCACAGCTCTACACTTTGTCTTCCAGATGACAGCACTATAAAACCAACGGGGGACAAAACCAGAGTCAATTAAAGT